GGTCTTCTCAGTAATTTGAGTTTTACTCCACGAAGAAATGACTTTTGGAGGCTCGGAAGATGTTATTCGTAATCAGCTCGTTAAACTGAATCTGAATATGTATAATAAAGTCAAAAATAAATTCCACCGTAAGTTTGCATTAGCTGAACCTTATATCAAATGGTCTATAACCGAGTTTAAATTAGTATGGACTGAGTTTTACACTTAGTAGCTGGAATTTGACAAGTTTAAAAATGGTTTTCGACACTAAAAAGATCTGCAAAATTCTGCTCTAGTCTTTGTAGCTTTTTGCACTGTGCATAATAATCTGACCGATATTAACTTTTGTTTCGTTAATTTGCAGTCAACCTGTCTTTGCAGTCGAGATTTTAAGTATACAGCTTCAAATGCTAAGGAGAACTATTTTTCAAAATTTGTAATGAGGTGTTCGAACTCTCCAGATGGCGACGATCCGACAAAGCTTTTTGATAACTCGTTTGTTCCTAACAAACAATAGCAGTGTATAGTATCGCCATGATGCCATATAGATAAATAAAAGGAGATTCAATCCATGCAGTTTAAATATAAAAACATCAAGTAAGCCATTTGTTATTAGTTTCTTTGCCGACGTTACTAACAACACAAGTCATGCGACGATCTCAGACTTGTATTAAGGGGAGGAGGTGGTCATTTTTTGCAGATCTTTTTAGTGTCGAAAACCATTTTTAAACTTGTCAAATTCCAGCTACTAAGTGTAAAACTCAGTCCATACTAATTTAAACTCGGTTATAGACCATTTGATATACTTATCCTCAAATTCTATTTCATCATCGATTCTTATTGAATATAAAAGAAGAGATGACTATGATTTTATACTTATTATGTAATAGATGCCTCTCTTTTGTGAGGATGATTTGAAACAATCTCTATTGAAGTCATACAGTGAGCAATGCAGTCAGCAGTGCGCTACTAGCAGTGCTACTTTGTCTGCGTAAAACACAAAAATCGCATTCGATTAGAAAATACAAATACATATTACTTCGACATCATGTCTTTACATGAAAAACGACTAACGGTTGACCAACATGATTAAAGTAGAAGTTAATAGTAAACAAAATAAAAACTCATCATATTGTAAAGCAGACTTTTCTGCATAGGACACTGTCTTTTGTTCTATTTGTCCATGCTTATTAAACGAAAAAACATGGACCAAAGAAAATCGTGGATCACTACTAATATTGCATGAGTGATCATGCTACAAGAAGAAAGTAATGGAAAAAATAAAAATGGACTACAGTCGGTATAATATTAAAACGATAACGCGCACACACACATGTGAAACGAGGTAAGACAAAAAATAGAAAACTAAATCCTAAAGATTACGCAAGCACCAGAGCATTAGACTTAACAGTATTCAAAATCCATTTTAATTAGACCCAGATCTATCGGAAGTGGTCTAAGCTATTTGGGAACTCCATGCAGTACAATGATATTACCTTTGCAGGCTGTAGGGCATGGCTTAAGATTTAAAACTCTTTTATTTTTGTTTTATTCCGAAATTTGACTTATCTCACCTTTAATTATGACATATTATTTTTCGTCTTATCAGTTTTCTTGGTGCACGAAGAAATAAGACTTACTGATAGTGTCAGATGAAGTAACATATTTATTTGCCTGCAATAACCGAATTCTAAAACACGAATCGAGTATAATACGGCGTTTGTGCAGAACAAAAACCATATATACACATGTTCAATCCGACTACTACTAACAGTAACCAACATGTCGTAATCGACATGGATGAAACTGTTTGTTCAATATCAGGAAGTATTAATTTATGTAGTCAAAAATTGAATGAAAAGAACTTTATAATCATCTAGTTTACAAGAGACGTTACACTGATATCATCGTACAATATTCCTCAAATGTTAATGGGCAGTTCCGTTGAGATATTTCATGATGAAAATCGATGTCAACAGTATATAAATGGAATTAAAAATGAAAAAATATATTTTTAATTGTCTCTGGTATCACAAATTCTACTTTTTGGTCAAGTATCCAAGCGGGAATCACCAATGTTGTATTTATTTATATATTAAATTTACCATTGTCATGGAATATTATGAAAACAAGGATTGATTATCAAAGAAATCATTTTTGGAAGCCTAAGGTCTCCAGCACTAAATTCGACGTTAAAACCTTTGAAGTGAGTTTTTATGCTTCTTTTTTTTAACCTCAGTACTTATGAGGGACCGTCTTCGCACAGTGAAATATCTTCAAAGACAAATTTTCGTCGAACGTTACAATTTCGTTTGATTGATGCGTTGTGTCATTTCAGACAGACAGCTTTTGTTCGAAGGAAAGCTGCATTAAATATCGGCTAATAGGAGAAGAGATTTTATTTAAATATTGGATGAGATTTTATTATAAACCAAAGTTTAAAACAATCATTTCATACAATTGTACAGATTTCTTCAATGAAAACTCTAACGCAAACAAATAAATCAGTATGAAATATAGAACCCAGCAAGACATGTCTATGTTTAATTGTGACCTAGATTATTTATAATCGGCTTCCAACATTTGACACACGATCGAATAAGTCTTGGATAGTTGTGTCTAAGTCAACGTCGGTATTATCGTCGATATACAGTGAACATTCATTTCGTTCCATCAATAATATGTTGAGTTTATTTAACGCCATTTGATGAATATAACTCGATGGCATTTCTGGATTACAGAAAATATTCATTATTTCCGTTCGGTTATTGTCAACTACCATAGCGACGATAGATCTAATTTTCGCCGTGCAGACAAGTTTGAATTCTACCACATCAACCACAACATTACATTCATTAGATTCATTTATACTAATAAGTGTACGAGAATTGTCTAATGCACCTGTATTAAATCATACAATGATGGATCTTCGCGAAGAACACAACTTCCGATTTCATATGTTCGTTTGTATGTAATTCTTTCCGTACAATTAAATTTAATAAGAAATGTTTCATCACTAATCAATGTAACTGTGATCAGATAATATTTAATATTATTAATTTTGAACTGAAATGGCGTTGCTACTTGGATTGAATTAAGTGTACTGAGTTTAGTTCAATTGATGGAATAAAATCATTTTCTAATACAAGAATTTGATTAGATGGCACACTAAGCAATTGTCGGACATTTTCAAATAATGGCTATTTGAGCCAGCCGTTTTTCAACAACATGTCAGACTCATCCGATATATCAATCAGTAGTTCAACATTTTTTTCTTTGTTTATAGTACAGAATACAACTGATACCGAGCACATTTGACTTTGTTTAATACAAAAAAAATTGTTTTTATCCATGTTTGATAGGATAATATTTTTATCAGCTACTTTCATTAACACTAGAATGTCCGAAAATTTTCATGACCCAGAACGCCCAAAGCCGTCATTTTTGACCATAACTGTTTTTTTTTTAAATTTTATAATTAAAAATGGTCCTGAATTCAAAAATAAATTAAAAATTCTGCAAAAAATAATTTTTGTGGAATAAATTAAAAGTTATGACATAACTTATTTTTAAATAAATTGTATACAGTTTGTTTTATTAGGGATAAAAATCCCAAAACGGTCAAAATGACCGCTAGGGGCGTTCTGGTGTTAAACTACTAATCAAACGGTATTTGTCATTTATTTCATTTACTTTCAATTATTCATTGAGATATTCTAGAACATTTCAAACGGTCATGGATTTTCCTTTTACTGGTATTTGTATAGAACTATTTTCGTTTTCATTTGTTATTCTGACACTTATTAAAGTACATATTTGAAAGGTAAGTACATCTTCATTGCCACCAGCTGAGTAAAGTGTCAAGAAGTTCATTACCGGTAAATAAACATTAGCAGTAATTGTTTGATTATGAAAAAGAGTAATATCTTCGATTTCAGTATTTTTGAAACATAGATAGTGTCTTTGCAGAACATCACATAACCAGACTGATCCAAGTGTATTAATGGTTATTGATTCAGTGCCGGATTCAAGACGTATTTTAACAATATCAGCAATACGTACGCGATAAACTGTGACACTTCAATGATCACATAATACTGATAAAACTGTGTCATCATTGTTAATGACTGACATTTCTTTCAAAAATCGAAAATTCAGGATTTCCATATATGCGTATTTGAAAATGACTGTTTGTTGCCATTTGCTTGTCGGAAGAAGGAACAAAATTGAAGTCTTTTCTGAGATAGGGGGTAGTATAATAAATTCTAGTTGATAAAAAATAGTTGGTAAATTATTAACATAAACCTTTACTGTATTATCAATGCTTTTGGACAGATACATTTCAATCTCTCCACTATCAATACATAAACAGTATTCATTAGTGATACAAGTGTTTGATATATCAGTCTCTTTCGGTTGATTGACAATAACTCTCAATAGAACAACTTCAATTCTAGTTGTCCTTTGTATTAGATGGTATATTAGTGTGATATATTATTAGTGATTTATTTAAAAATTACACGTTTAAATACCTTCACATTTTCGATATAGTTTTCGATAAAATATTATAAAGTATCAAAGAACATTTACATTCTGTCTCTACCAACTAATTTATAGTTATAGAACACCTAACTAATTTTTGCTTTTAGTGGCGTAGTTATATTAATAAAAAACTCCAGCAAGTTTTGATCACTGTCTTGTAAGATTAGTTGGATTGTAAGGGAATTTTAATTAAATATGATGAACCTATCATCAGATTTGAACAAATTAAAGAAGATGATCGCTCCACGTACCACTTGATATTGTTGAAAAGAACCGAACATCATTAAGATTTCTAGAAAACCCTTTCAAAAACTCTGTTACATTCGTTTTTGAAATCTCGCACACCCGTATGTTTGTTCAGTTTTTCACACACTATTTAATAGTATATTTGAAATTATCTGTTGTTATGAAAACAAATTGAGAAATTTTGGCTTTGAAAGAGTTCAACTTTTCGATTGCAAAATTTCAATTTAATAGTAAGGAAAAGAGATTTTTGATAATATTTATTTTAAAATGTCGCTGAACATTTTTCTACAAAGTGCAGTTATTTAAAAAGTTTTCAACTTAAAAATAATATCAGGAAAACTTTTTATTAAAAATGGAGCTGCCAAAAGCCATGGTTTTCTAGAAATCCTTTTTTACCATGCTTTCAAACCTTTATAACATCACCACTAGAAAGGCCATGATTTGAAATTTGTAAACGCCAGGTTTGATTAACTTTGGTTAAGGGCCTTCCTCCCTCAGAAATGGTGATTTTCGGTCAAAAAATAGGTTTTAAGATACGCACACCGAAAGATAGCCTGAAGTGTCTACTTGCAGAATCCGTATTGCTCTTGGTTACAAAAGGGGATTGGGTTACTCTTGGTTTTTCAGGGATTTTCAGCAAGTTTTCTAGCAGCCTCAAAAAACCGGGCTGTCGAATAATAGTTTTGTCCTGGATAATTATGTAATTAAAATTTTTCTGAACACACAGCTTTGTAGAGCAAACGTTTCTGATCAGAATAAGACCTCGCACAACTCTGTATGACCTTGCATCAAAAAGTTACAGGCATTTTCCTAGAAGTCCTAAAATCGAGTATTTTATACAGCGTTTAATATATCCTTTTCTCTATATAAGAGTTACACGTGAAGTGCGTCCCAAGATATCAATAGCGGTTTGTCGTAGAGAGTTCATTCTTTTTTTGTTTAAAAGAGGAAAAGAAACTACATGGACTGACTGGCGTCGACTTTTGAATTAGGTCTTAGTTTTTTGTCAAACTGAGAATTTTTAGAAAATCCTGAAGGCTTTTTCGAATTTTGGAGGTTGTTGGTTGTCTCGAAAACCAATAAAGGCTTAATTGAAAAATCGGCGCTGGTCAGTCCATGTAGGTGTCTAGTTTAAAATAAAACAAATCCCAACTCTCCAGCTTGAGGTATATTAAAAAATCTTGGGAGGCACTTCAGGATCCTGTTTGGACCTTGATCTCTGGAGAACTCCTAAACTGTAAGACTTGGAGACAAAAAAGTTTTTTTATTCCTGTTGTTCTCATTGTGCCTAACATTTATGGAAACTTTCGTCAAGATCGGATGTACGGTGTCGGAGATGATTTCTGAGGGGGAGCCTTAAGCGCTGTATTATGAAATAAGCTCCAACTTTTTCATCTAACAGACCTATTAAGACATTTCCATCATTTGATAAAAGCTCTAATTTACTGGAAACACAGTTTTTCGTTATTTTGCACAACTCATTTTGACTTAGATATATAATAGATAATTATCAAATCGTTTTATGATAAAAGAAAATAACACATTTTACATTTCGTTTATTTCTTTTTCGAGTTCGGCGAAATCAAATGTTTCTTTTGAATCTTACTCCATATTGAGAAAAGATGAGAACAATTTAATACGCTTCAGTTCTTGTGGATCGAAGCTGACCATTTGCTTCATGTTTTACAGTTGTCCAATGATGCCATCTTTTCTAGGATCCTTTTGCACATAACAATCAGTAACAAGTTTCATTATGTCTTGAGACATTTGTCGTTCATACTCTTCTCCATTTTTTGACTTTCTGCACTGGAACCCGATTCTGTAATTTTTTTCCAGAAACATCGGACTCATGAAACGCGCGAAGCAAACCAAGCTTTTGTCCAACGTCAGCAAACGCCTGAGTCATTACTCTGAGCAGTTTATCGATATCTGCACTGGGCAAGCGGAATGCCTCCACTGCTCTGCTACCATAAAGTTTGACACCGTGTCTGGCGAGAGTTATAGCATACCCTTCATACGAGGCACCAGAAAATATGCGCGGAAGCCAACAAGTCACTTTTGTTTGCAAAAAAATTGCCCATGATCAGAGCTGACTTAACACGAGATGCGCCCATCGGCAGCCACTTGTCCTCAACCAGTTTTGAAACTACATCAGTGTCCAAATACAGTGCACCCAAAATCGCCACGCTTTCACCCATCCAGCGTAGAACTTTACCTACTTTTCTTCCCAGACTGCCATCTTTATCTAAAAGTGCAGCCAACAAACCTATAATCATTTCATGCGTAGCTACACTTTCACCCATCCTGCCAAGACCTTCAGCTGCATGCCATCTGACAGATTCTTGTTCATCGTCCAGTGCAGTCAGCAAAGCTTTGATTGCCTCAGGCGTGGCTCGGCTTGTACGCATGTTACAGAGAGCGCGAGCTACAGCATGTCTGCCAGAATAATGTACGTCGCCAAGTACAGTCTACAAACCTTTGATAACCCCACTCGTGACTGCGCTTGCACCCATACAGTCAAGATAGCCAACAACACTCCCTCTGACATCTCCATCTTGATCGCCAAGTGAACTCAACAAAGCCTTGATCACCCCAGGCACAGCTGCACTTGCACCCATACTGGCAAGAGCTTCACCTGCACTTCCTCTGACAGATTCTCTTTCTAGCTAAGTGCAGTCAACAAAGCTTAGATCGCCTCAGCCGTGGCTGCACTTGCACCCATCTTGCCAAGCGCTTGAGTTGCAGTATGTCTGACAGAATAATGTACGCCGCCAAGTGCAGTCAACAACGCCTTGATCACATCGGATGTGCACAGTGTGCCTTTTTTTTGCATAGCAGGCGGTCATGTAACTTTCGTGTTCAAAAACGGGTTTCTTTTGCTCAATAGTGGCTGTATATCACTTCAAAAACCACCTTTAAGAAAAAAAGAATTTTTTGACGAAAAACACCTGAGAGGACCCCTCGCCTACATTTTTTCGAGAAAATGTTTTTTTTAGGAAATATATTGTGTCATACATCCGATGCAGTTTCACACGCTGATTCCGAAAATGCCATTAGTTTTCGATAAAAATGCTTTGGTGTCTGAAAAAGAGGAATTAAGCCGGAAAATCAAGGCGTCTAGGACGTTTTTGGAAAACCTACCATTCGGTCCAGAAGCGTCGGCGCTAACTGTGGTGACATGTCATATATAAGATAGCATTCCCTGGAAATTTCATAAAGATTAGAGCTTCGCTAAAGTTCGCGCATGCATTGCATCAAACACACCTCCTGGCAAAATGAGCTAGAAAAAATGTTTTTATTTCTCCAACTTAGAAAGCCCAAAAATAGAAAAGTTTTTACCAATCGATAGCGCACTTGATGCTGATTCCGAATATATATTTGTTTGCCCATTAGCTATGTTTCATCTTTAAAATTTTTGCGTATAATCCGATTTTCCGGTCCACACCGGTTTTTTAGTGTGTTTGTGTGTATAGGATTTTTAAGTTCTAGGACATAAAATTTTTTGCCATTACAGCATGTTTCAAAGTATATCAATCATCCTTAAAATTACTGAAAAATCAACTGTCAGTTTTTCATCAAAAGCCGGCCTGGCTGCACACTGTGACGTGCCTGTAATTATACCAGTCTTGCCAAGACCTTTAGCTGCGGCATGTCTGACAGAATAACATACGTCGCCAAGTGCAGCCAACAACGCATTGATCACCTCGGGCTCGGCTGCACTTGCATCCATGTAGCCAAGAGCTTTAGCTGCAGCATGTCTGACAGAAAAATGTTCATCGCCCAGTGCAGCCAACAACGCTTTGATAATCTCGGGCGTGCCTATGCTTACACCCAGCTTGCCAAGAGCTTTAGCTGCAGCATGCCTGACAGAAAAATGCGCGTCGCCAAGTGCAGCCAGTAACGCTTTGATCACCTCGGGCGTGGCCGTACTTACACCTATCTTGCCAAGAGCTTGAGCTGCAGCCTGTCTGACAGAATAATGTGCGTCGCCAAGTGCAGCTAGTAACGCTCTGATCACCTCGGGCGTGTCTTTGCTTACACCTGTCTTGCCAAGAGCTTTAGCTGCAGCATTTCTGACAGAATAATGTGCGTCGCCCAGTACAGCCAACAACGCTCTGATCACCTCGGGCGTGGCCCTGCTTACACCTATCTTGCCAAGAGCTTGAGCCGCAGCATGTCTGACAGAATAAAGTACGTCGCCTAGTACAGCCAACAACGCTCTGATCACCTCGGGCGTGGCCGTACTTACATCTATCTTGCCAAGAGCTTGAGCTGCAGCATGTCTGACAGAATAATGTACGTCACCAAGTGCAGCCAACAACGCATTGATCATCTCGGGCGAGGCTGTACTTGCATCCATATAGCCAAGAGCTTTAGCTGCAGCGTGTCTGACAGAAAAATGCGCGTCGCCAAGTGCAGTCAACAACGCTTTGGTCAGCTCAGGCGTGGCTACACTTGCACGCATATAGGCAAGAGCTTTAGCTGCAGCATGTCTGACAGAAAAATGTGCGTCGCTAAGTGCAGCCAATAATGCTTTGATCACCTCGGACGTGGCTGTACTTACACCTATCTTACCAAGACCTTTAGCTGCAGCATGTCTGATAGAATAGTGTACGTCACCAAGTGCAGTCAACAAAGTTTTGATCACCTCAGGCGCGGCTGCACTTGCACCGATGCTGCCAAGAACTTCACGTGCACTCCATCTGACAGATTCCTGTTCCTCGCCCAGTGCAGTCAAGAAAGCTTTGATCGCCAGAAGTGCGGCTGTACTTCCACCGATGTTACAGGGTGCTCGAGCTGCTGCTTGTCTGACAGAGTAATGTACGTCGCCGAGTATATTTTGCAGAGTACCGATCAGTTGCTGGGTGGCCTCTTTGAGATGAATAGTTTCAATTATTTCACTGGTTTGCATTGTCACATCTCGATCACTGTGGTGTAACAAGTCAATCAGTTTGCATATTACTACAGTTTTACGTAGAAGTGATGGACTGTGCCGAAGTGAGCGAATTAACCATGGGAAAGACCTAACAACATGTGTATCTTTTGCGGCATATTCTAACCACTTTGATGATTGCTTTATCGATGGTCCATGTCGAGTAATCCTATCATCACTGCCAGCTTCTTCTAGACAACGAATAAGCAACTGCATATGCCCTGCGCAGATCAAATCTCTTGGTTCAGATGATATTGTTTCGAAAAATGTTTCTAGGGATGATAAAGAAGCGTTTCCAGTTAACAGATCAGATGTATAGGTGAATACTAAGAGAAAGCGTTGGTTGTACTTTTCGAGTGTAATAAAGTTAATCGCTTCTTTATAATACTTGTCATCAGGATCTTGTAGAGCGCTTACCAAGTATCGTGCTGCAAAAAATTCTTGGAAACTCCAATGAATAAAATAGTAATCTTTCTCTATCTCAATTTTAGTGCCAATATGTCCTCGAGAAATCGATTTCAAAATACCAATAGTGAGTAATCTTTTAAATAGTTCTGTACGATTTGGGGCTGAGGATTCAAGTTCTTTTAATATCTTTTGTAACAAATTCTTCTCAATAATCAAGTTGTCGCTCTTCATTCCATAAAAAGCAATTCTCTCTAAAGCCGTTAGTTCTTTGTGAAAGTAGTCGTAAATGCCCTGTTTATCTAGTTGAGCATCAATATTTTGCTTTTCTGAATATCGTCGAAGCAACCATTCTGTAATCTGATCGTAAAGCTGTGTCATAGTCATCTTGTTTGATTTAAACGATTGCCTATTGGCCCAGAGACTGCAAATTAGTTCGAGATTAATCGGAATATGTGCAATTCCCCAAATGGCAGACTTCGACTTCAAGAACGGCAACAAATTTTCATCCTTAATCGATGTATGGTTTGACTCGTTATTAACCCGGTCGAAAAACTGCTTCACATAAGAAGCAATATTCTCATCCGTGAAGCCTGTAATTTCCAACTGCACATCAAACGATAGCCTAGTACTAAAGTATGGGCGAGATGTCAAAATCATGTGTGGAGAACTTAGTAACTGTTTGAATGACGATTCCAGTTGTATCGGTATAATCTGTCCAATTTCATCATTGCCATCTAAAACCCATAGAACTTTGCTTTGATTCAGCTGTTCTGTCAAACATTTCTTTTCATTTATAGAAAGAGCGTGGTTAAAGCATGCTTTTTGTACAATATCAAGTATGGAATATTGATCGCCGTTTGGCCGTGGAGGATAACGACTGTCGGTCAAGAAACGTAAGCGGATCCAAATGAGCAGTTTGAACTGTGACCAAAGCTTCCTCGTTGCCCATTGGAAGGCTATATAACGACAGAATGTCGTTTTGCCAATTCCAGCTCGTCCAAAAACAACCACCTGTTGTGCTTTGCCTTTGCATGGGTCGAAAATTTCTGTGATAGGAATCGACGTTTTGGCGCCATAGATCTCTCCAAATGTACCGATAATTGTATCTCTATGTGGAGCTTGAGCGTCGTGAATTTTGTTTTCTCTCTTTTGTTGATCTTTGCTTTCGACTATGGCTAAACTGATGTAGCTTTGTATGATTGGAAAAGCCTTTGTGGGATTCAGCATAAGTTTGATGTGAGAATACTCTTGATACTTGCGTCGAACTGCTTCGATTAGATCATTACACTGATCAGCTTGCTGGGTTGTTAGATAATCTGTAAGATATTTTTGAATGCCATCAATTACTTCATTAGCTTTCAAATCAATATCGGTTCTGACGTCGAACGTCTATCTAGAGAAGTTCTACAGTGATAATATCCTAACCACTTAGTTGGTGCAGGCAGCTGATGAAAATTTAGCGTTTTCACAATGAATCAAATCTGATTCAATCCGTATGAAACCTACCACCATTATATCAACATTCGGTGCCAGCGACGAAGCTTATCTCATTTTTTAGAGCTCGACGAACTGAATCAAATGGAGAAAACCGCAAATCTCCAAATGACTTGAAAAAAAGTTATTGCTACTTTGCTCTCTCAGCGGAAATGTGCAACTTGCGTTTTTCAGCGGATTTGGCTAACTTGTGAAACATCACCTAATCGCATTCTCTAGAACCTTGAGCTTAGCTTCATTTGAAAGAGCGCATCAAACCCTATATAGTTCGATAAAGAAGAATTATGTGAGACCTCTGCGTCTTGAGAAAACGATTTCTGAAAATCCGGTTTTCTAGAAAACCTAGCTGAATCAAAATCTGTTAACGGTCACATTACATTACCGATTCAGTTCTCTACAAAATGAGATGTGATAGCCAAGTTTCTACGGTGTCGACAATCTATATTATAGACATTATACCACTGTATACGCTCCACATGATTAAAGTATTTTAAGTTATTAACAACTGCGAGTTTTTGTACTGCGAAAATTTTGCGCCTCCAGTTTTCCAGAAACTTTCTTGAAATCTAGGATTTAGAAAACCTTTTGCATTCAACGTGTAATAAACAGGAAAAAGAATTCTCTGCATAATTTCCATCAAAAACCATTATCAAAACCAGAGAGACTTCTGATTATCAGTATTGTCTCCTTCCGAAAGTTTCTTCCAAAGTGTTTCTACTCTTTTTCGTTTCCAAGTTATTCAAATTTCTCTGATGCAATTTAAACTACGATATACCATGTTGAAAACCCTGTGTTATTAACTGTATCACACCAGCTACGCCTAATAGTGAATACTATTTGAATGCCCAATTACAAGCAGATCTTTTCCTCTATAAATGGTGTACTTTTTTTGGCTACTATTTTTCCATCAACCAGTGATAAAATGTTCGAAACAACGTCTTTTGAGAATATCTCTTGCAACCGCAGTAAAACTGGTTGAAAACCAAAATATTTGTGTTTATACGAAGGTTGCTCACAAGTTGGATTGGAAGAATGTTGTAGAAAGGCTTTCTAGACACAGATCGAACCTGGCGCACTACATCGCAGGCTAGCTTTGATGAAGGGGTAAAGGTACCACTTCAGTTCAACACACATTTCACTTCACAGCTGAAACGGCGCTCCTGATAGGAGGAAAAGCACTACTTCACCACTTCCACTTCACTTGAAGTGAACCTGAAGTGGCTTTGATGATATACTGTGTACTCGTCACACTTGAAAGCTAGAGATGTTTTTCATTTTTAAAGTTTTAACTACAAATCTAGCAGCTTAACGTCTACTGGAAAGCTTTTCCGAAATGTGGTGGAGGCTTAAAAATCATTCGAAACCGTTTTTCTATTTTGAAAAATATAATTCCGTTTCTCGCGTTTGTTCAATTCTTTCTAGCCTGTTTTAGTTTTACTGCAACTCGATGGCATTTAGGATGAATGTTCCACTGTCACAAAATACTAAAATGTAGGGATTTTTCGCAACGTTTCGTTCTAGTCGGCTAACGAGGAAAGGTACTCAACTCAGATCGCTTTTTTGATGGAAATTGTAGGATTATATGTAATCGATAATGCTGATTCCGAATATCACAGTCGGGACGGCTGCTAGGTCTTTTAAGAGTCGATCTTTTAGAAAACTGAAGAAATGTAAGAACAGTATGTGCAGTCGTTTTCGACAAATCAACACATTTTAGCCTATTGACGTAATGAAATAAAAATTTCATAATTCTCTCAGTATCAGACCAAACCACTTGGATCTTCCAGAATATATTCTGTTTTTGATTCTAGTGATGATAAAATCGCTAAAACTCGGTACTGAACAACTATTTTATGACGCAAAAGTATTTTGAGAATTTTTCTGCCGTCGATATCTAGAAGACATAAGTTCAATGATGTTCTGAAAAATCTCAACTAATTTGGTTTAATTTTTACTGAATTATGACTTTTATTTCATTACATCTGTAGACTAGAATGACTTATTTTGTCGACAGTGACTGTACAGACTGTTCTTCTATCTTTCTTTTTAACGGACACTACAACAACATTCAGGATGGTCGCAAAACAACTTTTAACTTTAGCCCGCTGATTCAGCAATCTTAGTTTCCCTAATAACTAACTACATAAAAGATAGGACACTGCTCACCATCAGTTTCGTTTGTGGGGTCGTTTTGCTTCATCGAGATATATCCATCAATATTCAGAGTGCTGCTTGTTTGGTCATCTGCTGATTCCATCGGCGAAAACGGTGATTCCAAAAGTGGATGAGGCGGTTGGATCTCTTTGAGGTGAATAATAGGGAAATCATCACGATCTGTCTTATCTACCACTTGAAAATAAAAGCCCGGTAGTAACAAAATCTCATTTTCATGTTCAAACTGTGAGTGTGGCGTTATTAGTCTACCATTTTCACATTCGATACAGAACAATGTTCGAAAACCAGATTCACCAAGGTAAAAGTCGGCTACTGCAATTGTTTCCGTACAGCTACTGAAACCCCACCATACACATCGATCACCTGGTTTATACTTTGTACTTAAATCCAAGCTGGTCCCACGCCAAGCTATCTTTTTGACTGCTGGTAGTTTGCATAATGCCGTTAGAAGTAATTTTAAATAAGGCAGCCAAGGGACTAGTACTTTTGCTCTGTTTTTCGAACGTAACACATCGTTAAGGTGTTGAAAAACACTTCCCATTGTATATAAGTGAATGGCAGCAGATTCATCTTGGGTTAAATGATCGTGAAGATGTTGACAGTTTTGTTTCGCTATCCAAACATCTCTTGGTATTGTGGCAATCATAGGTTTTAGGTATTCAACAGCCACTTCCAGTGACATTAACGGTAAATTCCCATAACCTCCTATGGGCTCCAAATGACTCATTGGCTCTTTTCCAATATCACCGTAACGTAACCTTCGATCAGAGTCCATTTGAGCTGTTAATGAGGCTGCTACTACTGGTTCAGAGGTAATCATAATGGTGATAATACTGTCTTTAATACTCTCATTAATAGGTAAAATGCATTTTTTAAGAGTTTTCCAAAACAACTATGTGTGAATTCGTATACATAAATAGAGTTTTTTCATTGTGTTAAAATGAACTTCTTAAAAGCAGAAAAAAACGCAACAAGTAACACTAAAGATAAAGTACATCAAGACGAAAAGAGACTGAAAGAAACATGTACATATACACTGATTCTCCGCAGAGAGAAGGAAAAGGATATGGCACATAAGGGTTAGCATTGTAAAACAGAAAACAGAATCAGTTTGTTACAACACAGCTGCAGTGAATGTGAGTCTAAAGCTTTTGAGTGTCCTGAATATGTTTAGTTGCTGTAAACAAGAAACAGTTGTTCTTACTCTTCTTTGTTCTCAAAAATCCACCGTAATTTTCGCTATATATCGTGTACCAATTATAAACTCGAGCAAATTATCAGATTCTCTTAGAACTATGGACAATTTGTTTTAGCAAATGTAAATAAGATGCCAGGAGTTTAAAAGCGAAATAGGAATTATTTTTGTTTTTTTTGCAAGGTTAGACACAACTCGTAGAGTTACGTAGAAAAAATCTAATAGCAATTTTGGAAGATATATTTGGGTGAAAACATGTCAAGTATTGATTTTTTACATTAGGCAAAACTAACGGAAATTCTCCGTTTTGACTTTTTCTATGATTTCAAATCTGTTATTTTCAGATTCCCCATCCAAAACTGACTATAAAAAGCTGTTCTTGAAAGTTTTAAAGGTTAAAATGTACTCAAACCTGGCTGAAACGAGCAAGGTGCGAAAAGAGCTCTCGATCAATCTTCCAAACTTATCTAGTGCCAGGGTTTTGGAGATAAAATTATTTCTTTAACTTCATTCTGACCATCGTAAGGTACATCTGAAGCAAACTTCGAGTGAAATGTATTTTTCGATTTTTCATACATATTTGGATAGAGGACTTCAAGGCGGTCAAGAATATATGTGCCTCGATTTCTTTTGATCTTTTTTTCGGTTTGAAAAATTTAAAAACCTCGAAGGATGTTAGAAAACCGATAAAAGTATCATATTCGGAATCAGGATAAAAGCCTGAGTCGAATGATGTGTATTTCTATCTGATCCGACTACTTTCATTTTTTTCGAATTTTCACGTTGGAAAAACTACCGAGATTAAAGTTATACGTTTAAAGCTGGGCTCACGGCGGATACAGAACCATTGATACGACGTTTCCATCCCTTGACACATACAACTAGATAGGTTTACAAAATGACTCACTCTTCTTTCATAATGGTCCATTCGAACATTCATGGTGGACAGACGTTCACGAATTCAAAAACATGTAGAAGCATAAAAGCACTTCGGGATAGAGTGATTGAAACAAATAAGATAAAGGCAAAAAATAGACGAAAAAAGTGAAGTGAAAACGATGACCAATTTGGTTTTGTATCAGTGGTTTACGACCAAACAAGCAACACATAGTTTTGAAAATATTTCAATAGCAAATCTTGATACGCAAAAATAATATGAACCAGCAAGCGTTTATCTCACCACCATGTGCCACATTCTCATGGGATTCACTTAAAATATTGAACAGCGATTCACATACACACACACATCGACGTAAAACGTGTTCTTCTATCACTAAGAGGTACGTCGGAAAAGAAAACTAAGATTTTTTTCTTTCCTGCCCACCTGCTCAGTTTACTGTGGCCTTATGCATCAGTTAACTTCATACGTTGGATTTGCGACGTAACAGAAAATAGCTAGGCACAGTTTTCTCTTCGAAAATAAAATAAATCAATAGCACTTTTATGACCTCACCTTGAAAAAGCATTACAGACGCTTCTATATAAAATGTTAGACTACTAGAGTGATGAGGAGCATACGAGCTATTGCACGTAAGCCACGACAAGTGATGCTCAACGATCATTTCAGATTTTTACAAAACCCTAAGGTTTACCAAAATGGTTTCTCGAAAACCTATTAACAAAAATACGCTTTTCGATTTTTTCGATCTTATAGTCGGATTTAGCGGATAATATTAATCATATCCTGAGGTTTTGAGCTTGTTCTGATGTTTTTTGGGTGAATAGTGAATTTTTTAATATTAGATGAAAACATGCTGAAAACCCTAATTTTCGTAAAACTGGCTTTTCAGTAGATTTTTAAAACTTTTTCCAAAAACAAATATTGCCACGATTATCCATAGTCTATCCGTTTAAGTCTATTCCGGCTTTTGTTGAACTGGTGGCGAAAAATAAACTTCAATATTTTCGTATACTTCATTCTTATTTCTTTCAATGAACCAGATACAATAAAAAAGGCTTTTTCTGTTTTAATTGATTTAATGTAATTGATACATTGTTGAACGTCTGTAAATGTTTTAAGACAATTGATGATGTGTCGAAAACAGTTTATTGTGTCAACACAGTCTTCTGTTTAACTAATATTCTCATCCAGCTGGACAAAGCAAAGATCTTCAAGATTCTCAATTTTATGTCGTCGAACTATGTTAACTGCTCAGTTAACTAGCAGCAACTGAGCAGTTGCTATGCGACGAAGCATTTTTGATGCTAAGGAAAGACGCTAAGGCCCAATATGATTTTGAGTGAAAATGATCGGAAATGCTTCCCTTTTCACTTCCCACTTTCAAAAATTCCTTCCGCTGTCTTTGAAAAAAAATTACTTTTTATTTTTCGCCACCAGTTCAACAAAAGCCATTACCTTTCTCCGCTACTTTCTCGTCCGACTTCAAAGTCCTTGAGCAAAGCTCATACATAGTAACATAGAGAATTTTCTGGGCTTCAAAATAAGCTATAAATACGTCTTTCAAAAATATGCCCACATGGGCCAGTACTCGAAATACTAGGCAGATATCATCATTTTCACCCATCTTAACGCTTTAAAATAATATTTCTTCAGCGTGTCTACTCAGAACCGGAATGTTTTATATATAGAAAGGTAGAGAACTTTCTAGGCTTCAAAATAAGCTATAAATAAGTCTTTTAGAAACACGAGTCAATAGTCGAAATACTAGACATCATCAAGTTCACCTACCTTAACACTTAACAAGAATTTTGAGGAAAATGAGACATCTCCCGGCTGTCTATAACGCTTTTTCACGCAACAGCAGTCGATTTACGAATGGCTACAAAGGGCGTGGAAAATACCCAAACGTTCCTGTGACAAAGCATTATAGACAGCCGCGAGATGTCTTATTTTCCTCAGAATTGTTTGCTCTATCAGGCTATATGATTTGCGAAAATTTCTGACTAAAAACCAAGGACTTGGTTTTCCAGAAACCTATTATCAGCTTTTAGTCATGAAACGACGTTATGCACCTCATCTGATAGAAAAATCTTCGGACTATCCTAAACAGGATTCGGATTGATTCCAGTGTTTACCCCAAAATAAAAAACAAAGCCATTGTTGTGATTATGACACACTGTACTGCATAGATGATATGCAAACGCTGCTCTTCGATATCGTTAATGACTGATCCCACCTGTCTGGATATTCTGACCGGCTCATTTTGTAGGGAATTTCAAGGGCTATCCAATGGTATGTTTTTGAAAAATATATAATTTTTATTATGGAAGAAATGACTAAAGGTGTGTTTAAAGCACTAAGATAGGTGAAAATTATGACATCGGTCAAGTATTCCGACTATTGACGCATGTTCACATATTTTTGAAAGACTTGTTTATAGCTTATTTTGTAGCCTAGAAAATTCTCTACCTTTCTATGTATAAACATTCCGGTTCTGAGCAGACACGCTACATCTTGTTGCCAAATGCGGAGAAACACTATTTTTTCTTGTGGCTCAAATAAACACCGTTCGATGCAAAATTTAACGCTGATCAGGAATATCTATTTTTCAGTCTTCTCAGTGCACGTTTTCCGTGAAAAAGTTCAAAAAACTAAAAGTCACGGTTTTTAGGTAAAATCTCTAATTTTTGAAACCACTGTTATATCTCTGTTTGTAATTGGTAGACTTTTCATTAAGAAATTTGAACTATAGAAGAAAGAAATAGAGATGGAGAAGAAAACTATATTTCAAGGTTCCAGTACGAATAAAAGTGTTCCGGGGCTGCGCAAAGTTGAAACACCTCAGTTTTCCTGACACTCACTCGCAAACCCGTCTCCTTTTTTCGACGTTAAATCATTTAACGCCGAAAAAAGGAGACACATTTTCTGTGACTCAAATATACATCGTTCGATGCAGAGTCTGCATCGAACGATGTATATTTGAGTCACAGAAAAAAATAGTGCTGTAACCTTCAATCTGGAGTGTTTTAATATAACATGAAATACTCACAGCTCAAGCATGAAAAATGTATCGGGTATCGTCCGATGTAGCTAGATATACTCAATACAAAACGCGATACATCTAGATGCATAAAAAAGAGAAAAAGTTGAATTGGGCTATCGACCGATACATCTAGATACAGCCGATTCATTTCTAGATGTATCTAGTAGCATAGTAGCAATATTAACCCAATTCATCGAGAAATATATCGGGAGATGAATCTAATTGTGTACCGGCTCCAGATGAGACATGCGTGAAATCGGCCCATAAAACGGCCGATACATCGTATAATGTGTCGGGCGATGCATTGTGGGATATATCGATCAATTCATCTATTTGAACATCTGAACATCAGTTTAAGTCAAGTCCATTCCATCCTATCATTAAAATCGAACGATGCATCTAGTGTAAGGCGATTTCCAACTTGAGGCAACTAGTGAAAAATCGCCTTGTTGAGAAACAGTAATTATCGTTTTACACCATGAAGCTCAAGTTGTACAAAGCTGAGCCCAGCAGATAAAACTGAGAAAATTCAATTTGCTACATTTCATCTTCTAGACTCAAGTTTGGGAAGTATCCCCTTCATAGTGAAAACCCAAGAAACCCACTTTTTAAAGCTAATTTTCAATTTTTCACCACAAAGGAAGTACTTCTCAAGCTTGAGTTTCGAACAGAAAGTGTAGAAAATTTAATTTTGTAAATTTTATCTGCTAGGCTGGGCTTTATAATTTCTTACTAGATGCATCGGATATTGCATCGTGTAATCGGGTAAAACTCGACGTATCTAGGTAACCCGATATTTTTTACTCTTTTATCCAGATACTTTTGCTGGAGTATCGGGTGATACTCCAGCAAGTGTATCTAGATTTTTTCGCCTACGAATTCATGCTTAGGAGTAATCTCTCTTTGTTAAATATGTAAGGTATTATAAGACATTGATTTCTAACGCATTATATTGAAGTGGAAAACTCAAACGGGTTATAACACGACGGGCTACGTCTATACCGTTGTAATACTATAATTTAAGAAAAAGCGTGTTTTATAGCGTTCTAATGCCACAATTCCAAAAAACTGCGCGTTTTATAGCGGTATAACGCTATAAACAGGGAAAACAAGATCCTGTGGGATTATAAAATCAACATGAACTTCGAAGTGATTCAACTAATTGATCTAAAAATTCAATTTAAATCACTCCTAACGACAGTTGATAAAATCAAATCGCAATTGATCATACCGTCTGACGACTATAATACTCTGATGATTTATGAAACAAAAGGAAACCATATTTCCTACATTAAAACCAATTTTCAACAACAATCATCGTCAAAATTAAATGAAATTCAATTAGTACATGATCATCTCTTGTTGTACTACGAAAACAAGGAACTTTTCTTATGAAATACTATAAATCATAACGAACTGCTTATTTCACTGCGCAGATCAACTTTATATGTAGCGAATCGAGATTGTAATCGACTGATAACGTTGTCTACAGATGGAAGATTAATGTTAGTGTACGATTAAAGAATAGAACGATTAAAGAAAAACTAAAAAAGAAAGTACGACTTAAAAATGACCAACAATGTGTTTCATTATGTTTAACTCCAGATGGTGAGTATCTGTTTGCAATAGATAAAGAGGAATGTTTATTACTGATGTATTGCGTTACAAATGGAAGATTATTAGAAACATTGTTTATCGAACATTTAACTTTGATGATGATAGCCACAACAACTGATCAAATTAACTTTATGTGTAAGACATGAATTAATAGTCTTAACATTGAATGAAAGTGAAAAGTATGTGTTCTACCTTTTTCACACCTGCTACTACTAGTTATCACGTTCAGTTTTCTTTTCTAGCAAAATGGAAACACTTTTAAACACTAATGATAATGATGAAATAACAGTAAAAAGAAAAAAATTATTATTTTCGAAATTAGTAATGCAATATTGGCTCGATTATTATCAAAATCATAACTAATGATTACTGCATGAAGGCTCACACAAGTTTGAAGAACAACGCCTTCTAGTATTATTTTGGCATTTTGGCTTGCTTTCTGTGCTTTCGTTTTTAATAAAACCATTCTAAGAATATTTTCAATTCATGCCATTCTATAATATGCAAGGAGTATCTAAGTTTTACAAATGACTTCACATTCTGTTTACCGCATACTGTCACGGTTGACAACAATTAGCGGCAGACACTTCGAAATTATAATTTAATCCAATTTCTTATCTCGATGTCTGATTTTTGTCAGACAACACAATATTTGAGGTAAAGCATGGAATGAGACTATTCTTTTAAAATTGTGCTTTGCTTTTTTGTACAAGGGAACCTTCGGAACGATCGGTCCTTCTCTGATTTAAATGATTTATACGTCTATCGATAAAGTATGTTGACCTACTAAGTACCCTGAAAGAATTTAGGCATCTCTCCTCGGCTACAGACACAGAAAAAGTAAAAAACACCATTACTCTGCCAAGTAAAATTGCTCCTTTTCTGTCTCTATAGCTGTTCGTCTCCGATTTCCATTTTCGAGTTGAATGGAATTTTTGATAGTTTTACATAGATTTCCCATTCTACATATGCTCAGAATGAAAAATTTATGACAAAGTCGCCATTTTTTTCTATCTGAAATTCCGGGTTGGATTGTCAGACATAATGGAATCGATCTTTCATAATTTTAATATTTCTACAACTCCAAACCTAGGCAACGATCTGATTCAAAACTAATTTTTGTGTGTCACGGGCGGGAGGGAGATAAGGGCTTTAAAATCATTTGGTTCAGAATTACTGATTTTACAGGTTGTTTTCATCCTAAGTAGGTCTATTCAATGGCCAGTTTAGAAAAAAACATTTAGAAATGCGTGATAATTCAGAAGCGGAAATAATTTTTGTGCAAGTCCCTTAGTTGTTGTACGGATGAACTCAAATGGGAGTAAAATACGAGAAATAGCCTACTTTTAGGATCAGTTTTCTCAAAGTCTCCAGAAACTATGTTAGTTTTTAAAATATACTCAAAAAGTGAAGAGCCACTGATTCGTTTTACTCCATGTAGGAAAAAATGGATCCCTAATGTATTCTGCATGAAACAAATCCATTGAAATACATGAGGTGAAAGCTCGTCGCTGATGGTATCTATTCATGTACGCCGAAGTCATACTTGGGACCTATCAGACTGTTGCAATATCAAGTGAATCTTACAGTTTCTAGTGTATTTCATTTATGCAACAGGGAGGGAGTTTCAGAAATTTTGGGATAGCCTGAAAGTCAGAAACTGTATGTTTGCGAGTTGTAACAAGGTTTGCATTTGAAAGGAAAATAATTAGAGACGAAGCCTTACGTACGTCACTTGATACATTCAAAGTAGAAAGACTCTTACATACAATTTATAAAGATGTGCAGCAATGAAATGCATTTCACTCTATTCAATAGCAACAGATAGATCTTTCTTCCCATTTACCACTCAGATTTGGTCAGAAGTACCTTTTAGTATTGAAATTATTATGATAATAACAGCAACTGTTTCAAAATTCATACTTCAATTTATTAGTTATTTATTCAACGTTTCCAAAAAAATATTTTTCGTTATCGAGAACACCAGAAGAAGACAAACGTGCTAACAGAAGGTTGGAATTGAAAATATGAAGTGATTAAAATCCTTGTTTAACCTTATATAGTAGACCTTATTAGATGTTTATAATATTTATTTATATTGCAAAAACGCATAAATCAGAAGAGCACCAAGTGATAAATGGCAGCAATCAGTTACATATTACTGTTACATATATTACTGTCAGATGAAAAAATCAATTCACCTTTTGTTGGTATAAAACGTTTGACTCAACAGCATATTTTATCATTTCATCCCATCCAAAATATAGTGAATAATCCAGCCATTGCTGGATCCTCTCCTATATTCTGGATACCAATCATACCAATCTATGAACTGAGAAAATTTTAAAGTTTTACTAATACACATCAATATTTCATTAACGCGCACCATTTTTCACGTGCCTAACACTTCAGAAAAAATTCACAGAACTGAACATTTTGGGATACGTGAATGATCGTATCGAATAAGTATGATAAGAAGCAAAAACCGATAAGATTGCTTTTGTGGTTTTTTTAATGCAAATAACCGTTTTTTGCATAGAGTAATAAATTCAACTGTGGAGGAATGATAAACAAGAACTCTCAGAAAAAGCTGCCAGCTAGGTAACAAGTGCCTGGACACTGTGAAAGAAGCAATTATGCAGACGACCCGACGTGTGTTTTGGACATCGATTATTGCCAGAGAGCCTTTTCCATTATTTTAGTTGCCAAAAACCAGGCGAGTTACAAAAAAAGTGAAGAAACGTCCAGTCCAATTTATTGAATACAAAAGCGTTTACTCGCATCCCTAATACTGGCAGACATATCAATTGTTTCAAATTATGTGCACTACACTGCCTGCTCGTCTAATTTTTACAAAATCAGCCTTGGGTCACCACACACCTTGCTGATTGGATGGTTTAAATAGGTCAGTGTCATCATATCATTTATATCGAGCTCAAAGTCGAATATAGACAGGTTCTCCTGCATGTGGACGGGATCGCGAGTGCGAGGGTTGATGACGATGCCTTGCTGCCAATGCCAACGATACACCACCTGGGCGGGCGTCTTGCCGTGCTTCTGTGCGATTTCAGTAACATTGGGGTGCTTACGAAGGTCTGGAATGGGGTTCCAGGAAGGATCGAGCCAAACCGCGTGATCAGGAGCTCCGCCTGGAGCGTAGCTGTTGAAGGTGATGTTGTGCTTTCGGCAGAAATCAAGAAGTTCGTCTTCATGCCAATAAGGATGGAATTCAACCTGTTGCGAGAAAACGACAGTGAGGAGAACATTTTTCATGAAGTGAACATACCTGGTTGACACTGGGAATAGAAGAGTTTAAATTAAAGATTTCTAATAAATGGTTTACTTCAAAATTGCTCACACCAATGGCCCGAACCTAAAACAGAGAGTTCTATCAGAATCGACAATAAATAAAGAGATGTATCGGAAAGAATGGCGATATCAGCATTCTGGATGAATCTCTCTTCGAATTCTTGATATCTAGACGTCAGATTATTGTTCAAGGATTCTGCATCTATATTTCCACAAAACATGTAGTTTAGATTTGCCAGTAACGATCATCAGGAAGGAGCTAATTTCCAGCGATACCTTTCACATGATTCATTTTCCTTTTTCTGTTCCACTTTTGGAGATCAATTCATCTGATTGAATCATGGTCTTTCATGTGATGTTCGATTTCAACGACATGAGTGTCTCTGCTAGATGGAAATGACCTACATGTAGGTCATTTCCATCAATCTTTTGATACTAACCTCACGCTCAGATAACGAAAAGCTGAGGAACTGTTGAGGAAATACTGAGACTGCTTTTTTTCTGATACCACCATTCTTTCTGGAAACTTCAGAAGATTCTTACGCTTTGTTGATCAAATACTTTTTCTAATGCTCGCCATGTTTGCACACGACAGTCAGTCCAAGTCGATTTTCCTTGCTTGCAAGGGGGAATTGGCTTATCGAAGTCGCCTGGCTGAGCGCCCGGCCAGTGAATAAGCAGAAGATCGATATATTCGGTCTGCAGGGACTTGAGGATGCCGGCAAACTCTTCGAGTGCTTCGCCGTAGCCAGATGGATCCACCTTGGACGTGATGAATATTTCGGAGCGGGGCACGCCGCTGGCCACCCATCCCGTGCCGATTCCGTCGCGTGAGGCGTAGTCGTCAGCGGTGTCGATGCGTCGACCACCTAACTTCAACCACGCAATAGTGGCGTTATGACCTTGTTCAGGCCCCCAATACTCACCCCCCGTACCATTCGGTTGACCATATGTTCCCGTACCCAGTCCCACGACAGGCATGAGCACCTCGCCACGTGCGGCATTCATGAGTCGAACAGAGGGTTGTTCATTAATAGGCCCAGTCTCTGATGTAGAGTAGAGAATTGAGAAGGTAAATACGAGTGGTAAAATGCGTTGAGAGAACATGAAGGAGCGTTGTCGTCACTCTATTTTCAAAACTTACTGATTGAATAAACTATACGACAGTGCAGTGAGTGTAAAAAATGAGAATAGAGCAACAGCAGGTTCAGAGAAAAGAATGATAACAAAGAAATAGTGCACGGCAAACAAAAAGGAAAGAAAATAATAAAAATGAGAAGAACGAAACATTCTGCTTTGATATGGTAGAATGGTCTGTTCTTCTCGTCCTCTAGGAAAAGAAAGGATAAAAAGTCGAATACGGTTTACTCTTTCACTGTTGTTGGTAGATTCTTGTTTGAAATGACCGTGTAAGCTCGAAATATCACAATGGAATAAATATGATTAAAAATCTCAAAACAGCTGCAATTATAATCTCTGATTCTCAAGAATCACTGCCCCTTAAACTCAGAAAATGTTAATCCAAGGCAGATAACGGCTTGGTTTTTTAAATTGTTAGAAAGAACAAACTCTCAGCTATACAATGGACAAAAAAGATAAAAAATAGTTTAATTTGAGGGTTTAAACTTGAAATTTCATGCTGCACCTGTCAATTTGTTAACGCGTCTTTTCATCCCTTAAATTTGAACAAAACATATTTAGAAGTATATGATTTCGAAGTGCATAAAAAAACTACATCTGTTACTATCATTTTAAAAATAAATAACGCACTTTTCCCTTTTTCAAAGCGATTTTGTGAAATTAGTTTTCTATCTAGTCATCCACGTCATCGATCTAAACTGCGTTTTGTTACTGTTTGTTACTGTATACGGTAAAAGTATTTTTAAGTATACCAGCTTGCAAAGGATTAAATTCTGAATAAAATAGACCCTAATTTAGTTTCCAATACCAATCACCAAGTGAGCCGCACATCATTCTTTTCGCATTTGAATTTCTTATTTAAACTGATTTTATGCAGTTTATGCTTTTAGCTGATTTGTTCGTAAAGATGAATAATTAGATTTATCCATTTCAGAATAAAATCACGGACAGTGTCACTGGTCTCACCAGCACCAACTTCACAAAGCCTGTATACTTTTACAATAAATACTTATAAAACTTTTCTACCCTATTATTCTTTTCTTCCGATAAAATATCCTTTTATAGCTCATGTCTAATACTAAATATTGTATTATTTGTTAATGCACATATTTTACGGTCAAGAATTATCACATAATGTAAAAGTGGACTTGTCGATAAACACCAAAATAGAACTAAACTTACAACTAAACCATATGCCATTTTTCGTGTACTCGGTTGACCTTTTCGTTTATCTGCTGAGCTAACTAGATAGTGATCAATGGAAACTAATACGATTAAATATCGATATATTATTTCTGAAAGAATTATCATATATATACGAAACTTACAATATCATGTAGCACTGTTAGACAGATCAATTCCATACCCCTCGATTAAGGTACGTAGTAAATAAAATGACGTAATTAATAATAATAAAAGTGACAATATTTAAGAAATAAATAAATTGAAATTTATTCTGATATAAGACTTTTTGTAAAAATATACAAACATTTACAATACATCAGAAATCTCCAATTACCAACGATGTTGTCATTATATAACATGCAATGAATTGTTGTATAGAACCAAGTAACTGTATTATATTATCAGTGGACATATTTACATTGTCATGCTATAACTTTAAAATGAGTAGTTAATAGAAAAAGAACGAATACATATTCTGACTTCGTTTTTTAAATTAAGAAATGAAACTAACGTGAAGATATGTCGTAGGCAAAACTTTAATTTTAGTTTTGACTGGTCAAAACTTGAATTCAAAATTATACTTTGAGTTTTATCTGAATTCAATTAGACAAAATTAAAACCTTGATACCATCGAAGAATATTCCTGACTCCAGTCAGGTAACAGTCAGCTATTACATGTTTCAAAGGAAGGAGAAGAGACTGGTGTCATTCGAAGTAGTCCGAACATGATGAGAAGTCATTTGCTAAAAACCATGTGCAAACGAAAGAGATAAAGAACAACAACTGCGATTTCGATTTTCACTTTTGTTGAAATTCAAAGTTAGAGAGTGCAATTTTACTTTATTTTGTAGATAAAAATGTCGTTTGTATGACTGAAAACGTGCTTTTTCAGTAGTAAAACGATTTTTTTCGTTCCTTTCCAGTTTATTAGGCCTGTAGCAACAAATGTAAATGTTAAAACTTTGGTCAAAAAAGAGACATTTTACATTTAAAATGTTTCTTTTATCAGCTGCGCCCAAACAGAATTCTGTTTTGGCGCAGCTGATAAAAGAAACATTTTAAATGTAAAATGTCTCTTTTTTGACCAAAGTTTTAACATTTACATTTGTTGCTACAGGCCTATTGTGGGGTTATTGCAGCAGTTAATTTGACGATGAATAAGTCATAGTGTATTGTACATAACAAGGAGCAACACTCTTTCGTATCAGTAGAGATGTTAGTCCATCATTAGGGTATACGAAATAGAGGTGAGTTAGTGAGTCTTTTATGTGACACAGATAAGAAAGAGAAAAAACGATGACGTTGACGATACACTGGCCGACGTTCTTGTGCTCTTGCAAGATTCTTGTCTCTTGCCATTTCAGACAAGAATCCTCAATCTTTTCTTGATAAATAAGATGAGATTCTTTATTGAATTTTTTATTGAATTTTCATCTTTTTTCGTTAGAAACCGGTCTTTTCTTGGTTTTCCAGAAAACCTGGGACTTCCAAAACTTACTTCTCAAAATTTCGTGGAATTCCGTCAAAAATTTGTTCTGCAGGTTTTCGAGCATGCAGATTCCACTCACATACTCAAAAAATCTTTTTGCGAAGTTCCAAAACCGGAGTTTTCACTGGAAAAGCAACAGAACTTAAGCTCATAGGGATTAAAAAATTCTGACATCTCGTTCGACGCAGGTTTACGCACTACACTGAACACCGTTCTTCGGAAAACACTTAGTGAAGAAAGAAAAATTATTTTCCCAGCTCCAGAGCATCACACAAAAGATTTCTTGTAATGAATTGATAGAGTACATGTTTTAGTTTATGAATATGAACAGCTTTTTCAGATGCTGTATTCTACTCCGCGAAAACTTTTTTTATCTTTATCACTTTGTTTTTACTAAAACAAATTGCCTAGCGATTTTCCCACTAAATACGGGACTTAGAAAAAACTTTCCAATGGCCAAATAGAGCGTAAGCTGAAGTATATGACCCGCCATTCAAATCTCGAAAAAGTGCACATTCGTTTTTGCACCTAAATATAACATGGTTGCCCTTTATGGGAAGGTCCCTGGCTGATACTCTCCGATTTCGATGACCTTTTACCGATACATACTATATGATATCGTATTCTTACCCCCTAAAAGATTCGGTTGAATAGCTCTGCTTGCAAAAGTTATGATTTTAAGACTGGCCACTGGGATCCTAATTTATCATTGTTCACTACTTTCCAAAACTCGTCCACATGTCTGCTGGGGAGCCAGAATATTTTTAAACGCTTATTCATATAGGGAAAAGTGTTCGCTTCAAAATGGGACATTGCTGACGAGGGAAGGTCCCCGACTATCAAATCGCTTTTGACGTAAAACTTAGTGGACAATGGGTAACCGAACATGCTGATTCCGACAGAACGTCAAGTGGTCAGACGATTTCGGGAGCACGGAATGGCAAAAGACGGATTCTCAATGCAATTCTTGATGAGTCTGAGTCTGAGAATGAGATTAATCTTAATGAAACACAAGATGCAATTGGACCAATTCGAAATAAACGCAAAACAAAATGTCAGCCATACCCTAATACGGCATCACTTAGGAGATCAGCTAGAAAACAAAATAAACGGTTAAGTGTAAAAGCTGACATGAAGCTAAGTAATACCCATATCTATACGGAGGGAAAGATCTTAATATCAGAGGAATGTAAATCGTCAATAGCGATTATAAAGAGTATTCTTAAGATGCGCCGTA